TAAATGTCTGAGTCCCCAAAGCAGAAAAAGGGGAACAGAAGAGGAAAAAAGTAGGCACTGTTCCTTAAATCCTCTGGAAGCCACATCAGGTCAGTGGGGATTGCAAAAATGGCAGCCTGCATTTGTGTCTGCACCTCCGTGATTCAAAGCAGTAATTTGCAGTCAGAACCCAGATCCCCATTATTGGAGAACAAGGTCTTTATTGCCACTTTGGCCACCAAAGGCCAATCTAGGGATGCTAGTACGGCTTGAAGCCAGAGGATTAGGAGTTTGGAGATGGGTAGCTGCTGCCAACGGAAATTAATTTCACTCAACTGGCCAGGCCTTCCCCTAGAAGCTTGCAAGCCTTCAAATAATTTCCAGAGTTTCAAAATAGTTGTATCAGACAGATTCTGACAGCTCAGTTGTCTAGGTGGATAGATAGAACCTTGGTGCTTCCTACTCTACCATCTTACCTGACATCCACTTTTTCTTTTACCTTACATTTATTTTGCCCTTTTGGCAAATTCTGTCTTCAAGTATGTATGTTGTATGCCACCATCTGGAGTTTTGATGGGGAGTGCTACTGATGTCTACTGGGTAGCATACTGAGGATGAGGTCTTACATGAAAGTCACAGTTATGAAGTTAATTCTTACCATTTGGGGAAGAGATTTTGATAGATTGCTTGTCACACATCCATCATTATCTTCAGCTACCCAGAAGGCTTTGATATTTACTCTTTAAATGTACATTTTATGGCACTTAACCTCAGTGCCCATTTAGGTCTCTTCCAAGCATACTTGCCTTTCTTTTCTGTTCTAAAGCCTTTTAAAATAAACTTCCACTCCTGCTCTGGAAAGAAAGAAAGAAACATACATTTTGTCATTTGATAAATATTTAAATTTTCCACTTGGAAGTTTTTTTTTGTTGTTTGTTTGTTTGTTTTTGAGATGGAGTTTTGCTCTTGTTACCCAGGCGGGAGGCACAATCTTGGCTCATTGCAACCTCTGCTTCTTGGGTTCAAGCGATTCTCCTGCCTTAGCCTCCCAAGTAGCTGGGATTACAGGCATGCACTACCACACCTGGCTAATTTTGTATTTTTAGTAGAGATGGGGTTTCACTATATTGGTCAGCCTGGTCTCGAACTCCTGACCTCAAATGATGCACTTGCCTCGGCCTCCCAAAGTGCTGAGATTACGGGTATGAGCCACCACACCCAGCTGAAAGTATGTTTTTAAAGTATATATATTTTAGGACCTTGTTGTCTGTGTGTGCTTTTTTTTTTTTTTTTTTTGTGAGCTGGAGTCTCACTCTGTTGCCCAGGCTGGAGTGCAGTGGTGCTATCTCGGTTCACTTCAGCCTCTGCCTCCCAGGTTCAAGTGATTCTTCCTCTCAGCCTCCCGAGTAGCTGGGATTACAGGCATGTGCCACCACACACAACTAATTTTTGTGTTTAGTAGAGATGGGGTTTCACCATGTTGGCTAGGCTGGTCTCAAACTTCTGACCTTAAGAGATCTGCCTGCCTCGGCCTCCCAAAATGCTAGGATTACAGATGGGAGCCGCAGTGCCCAGCCTGTGTGCTGATTTCTTTGCAGAAATGAGAGGTGTTGTTGTTGTTGTTGTTGTTGTTTTTGTGTTTCTTTTTGAGACAGAGTCTTGCTCAGCTGCCCAGACTGGAGTGCAGTGGCCCAATCTTGGCTCACTGCAATCACCATTTCCCAGATTCAAGCCATTCTCCCGTCCCAGCCTCCCGAGTAGCTGGGATTACAGGCATCCGCCATCATGCCCGGCTAATTTTTGTGTTTTAGAAGAGACAGGGTTTCAACATGTTGATCAGGATGGTCTTGAACTCCTGACCTCCCATGATCGGCCCGCATCAGCCTCCCAAAGTGCTAGGATTACAGGCATGAGCTGCCATGCCCAGCCCAGAAACCAGAGTTTTAAAATTACATCTTTCTTAGTAGGTGTGGGCTATAAAAGGAAAAAGATTAACCCACTCACTCCTGTTACAAGGAAGGACAGAAAGTGGAAGAAAACTTCATTTTTAGTTTTGTTGTAGAAAAGTTTGAGCATATATGAAAGTAGAGAGAATAGGCTGGGCGTGGTGGCTCACGCCCGTAATCCCAGCACTTTGGGAGGCCAAGACGGGTGGATCACGAGGTCAGGAGATTGAGACCATCCTGGCTAACACGGTGAAACCCCATCTCTACTAAAAATGCAAAAACAAAATTAGCCAGGCATAGTGGTGGGTGCCTGTAGTCCCAGCTACTAGGGAGGCTGAGGTGAGAGGATGGCGTGAACCTGGGAGGTGGAGGTTGCAGTGAGGTGAGATCACACCACTGTACTCCAGCCTGGGCGACAGAGTGAGACTCCGTCTCTAAATAAATAAATAAAGTAGAATAATATAATATGACTTCCCATGTATTCATCATCCAATTTCTTTCTTTTCTTTTTTTCTCTTTTCTTTTCTTTTTTTTTTTTTTTGAGTCTCACTCTGTTGCCAGGCTTGAGTGCAGTGGAGCAATCTTGGCTCACTGCAACCTCTGCCTCTTGGGTTCAAGCGATTCTCCTGCCTCAACCTCTTGAATAGCTGGGACTACAGGGGCATGCCACCACACCCAGATAATTTTTGTATTTTCAGTAGAGACGGGGTTTCACTATGTTGGTCAGGATGGTCTCGATCTCTTGACCTCATGATCTGCCTGCCTCGGCCTCCCAAAGTTTTGGGATTACAGGTGTGAGCCACCGCACCCGGCCTCTTTTTCTTTTTCTTTTCTTTTTTTTTTTTTTTTTTTTTTAAAGATAAGGTCTCTTACTTTGTCACCCAGGCTGGATGGAATTACATAATCATGGCTTATTGTAGCCTCCTGGGCTCAAGTGATCCTCCTGTCAGCCTTTTATGTAGCTAGGACTGCAGACGAGTGCCACTATGCCCAGCTAATTTATTTTGCTTGTTTGTTTGTTTTAGAGATGGGATGTTACTGTATTGCCCAGGCTGATCTCAAACTCCTGGGCTCTCCTTGGCCTCCCAAATTGCTGGGATTACAGGGAGAAGCCACTGTACCCAGCCCATCACCCAATTTCAGCAGTTGTCAACTCATGGTCAATTTTTTTTTTTTTTTTTTTTTGAGATGGAGTTTCGCTCTTGTTGCCCAGGCTGGAGTGCAATGGCATGATCTTGGCTCACTGCAACCTCTGCCCACTAGGTTCAAGTGATTTTCCTACCTCAGCCTCCCAAGTCGTTAGCATTACAGGCGACCGCCACCACGCCCAGCTAATTTTTGTTATTTTTAGCACAGATGGGGTTTTGCCATGTTTTCCAGGCAGGTCTCAAACTCCTGACCTCAGGTGATCCACCTGCCTTGGCCTCCCAAAGTGCTGGGATTACAGGTGTGAGCCACCACACCCGGCCAATTCATGATCATTTCTGTTTCATCTGTTCCAATGATTATCTACCAGGTGCCAATTCATGATCATTTCTGTTTCATCTATTCCAATGATTATCTACCAGGACTGATTTTGTCATTTGTCAATGTCTTGAAAGATTTTTGCTTGTCGCAATCCTGGAGGGAGGAATTGTGAGGGGCAGGTGCTACTGATTTCTATTGGGTGGAGATCAAGTATGTTGCTAAACATTCCACAATGCACAGGGCAGCCCACACTATCCACACAACTAAAAAATTAGCCCAAAATGTCATCTGAGGTTGAGAAATCCTTATCTATATCTTAATGCACTGACATTTTTATAATGTTATTCCATCTAAGAATAGGAGAGGTGATTATTTGTTCAGATGTACTTTAATGTCATTCATCAGATAATGTCATTCAAGACTGGTATAAAATTTCCCTTGTGTAGGTTTTTCGTATTACTTACAAATTTACTACTCTGATTCTTAGTATAAGTTAAGGCTATTGATTTTAATGTGTCAATTTTTTATCCAGCTACTTCACTGAGTGAGTTTTATCGTTCATTCGCTGGACTGTTTTTTTGAGATGGAGTCTCGCTTTGTCACCCAGGCACGATCTCGGCTCACTGCAGCCTCCACCTCCCAGGTTCAAACAATTCTCCTGCCTCTGCCTCCCGAGTAGCTAGGATTACAGGTGTGCGCCACAATGCCCAGATAATTTTTGTATTTTTAGTAGAGATGGGGTTTCACTATGTTGGCCAGGATGGTCTTGATCCATTCTCTGGACTTTTCAGTATTATTATCTGCAAGTAGAGGTAGTTTTACTTTCTCTTTACTCATATCTGATTGATTTATATTGCCTGATTGCATATGTCTAGTACAGTGTTAAATTGTAGGGAAAATAATGGGTGTCTTTGCCTTGTTCTTGAGCATAGCAGAAATACCTCTAGTGCATTTAGTAGGTACTAGCTTTAGGACAAAGGTCTATGTATTTTATCATGTTGAGGAAGTATCCCTCAGTTCATTTTTGCTTGAGTGTTTTTATTGTCTGTGGTGCTGAATTTTGTTGAACATTTTCTCAGCATCTCTAGACGTATATTATTCCTTACTTATATGCATTTAATGTACTATAGTAAGTGCTATAACAAGGGGAGTGAGTTGTTGGAACTCTAAGTTAGGAAAAGGTACACAGAGGAGTTAACACTTGAACTGAATCTGAGGGATACAAAGGAGTTTGGAATGTAGGAAAAGGAGGGAAGACATTCAGGAGTATAAATAATTACAGGAATGGGGTAATTTATGAGCCCATCATAGGCTTTGGGTACCAGATTATATTTCCTAAATTCATATGCCTCCTCCTTCTCTAATCCCTCTGCTCCATTCTCTTGGTCACTCTTACACATTCACCTGTCTTAAATGAGTTTGCCTTATTCATTTGTTCACTTAGCAGTTCAGCTGTCATCCATTATTTTATATAGTGTTTTTAAAAATTTTGTCCTCTTTTAGTCATATAGCAAACCCTTACTGAGATATCATTAATCCCTTCTACACATTTAGTCTCAGTCTATCACATGAATCATGGGCTGCTGCTTTCTTTTTTTCTTTTTTCAGGATGTAAGAGCACGCCTAAAATGACAAAGTCAGCTCAAACTCAGGATTCATTTCAGGAGCAGATGAGGAAAAGACTGAAAAGGGTTGAACCCTGGAACTTCATACCAGAAAGACCTTGCATATATGAAGAGAAATTAAAGAAACAGCAGGACAAAAACGAAAATTTACAAATATTTTCAGTTGCCCATACAAAAATCCTTACTGTAGATAGAAGCCATACAAATGTTGAATTTGGCCAAAACTTCTACCTGAAATCAGTCTTCATTAAGCAACAGAGATTTGCTAGAGAAAAAACTCCATCAAAATGTGAAATACAAAGAAATAGTTTCAAGCAGAATTCAAATTTACTTAACCAATCAAAAATCAAAACAGCAGAGAAACGCTATAAATGTAGTACATGTGAAAAATCCTTCATTCACAATTCATCCCTTCGTAAACATCAGAAAAACCACACTGGAGAAAAATTATTTAAATGTAAAGAATGTTTAAAAGCTTTCAGCCAAAGTTCCGCTCTGATTCAGCATCAAAGAACTCACACAGGAGAGAAACCCTATATATGTAAAGAATGTGGGAAAGCCTTCAGCCATAGTGCATCCCTTTGTAAGCATCTAAGAACCCATACTGTGGAGAAATGCTATAGATGTAAAGAATGTGGTAAATCCTTCAGCCGAAGGTCTGGGCTTTTTATACATCAAAAAATCCATGCTCAAGGAAATCCTAATAAATATAATCCAGGTAGGAAGGCATCTAGTTGCAGCACATCCCTTTCTGGAAGTCAGAAAATTCATCTCAGAAAGAAGTCCTACTTATGTAATGAATGTGGCAACACCTTTAAGTCTAGCTCATCCCTTCGTTATCATCAGAGAATTCACACTGGAGAGAAACCTTTCAAATGTAGTGAATGTGGGAGAGCCTTCAGCCAGAGTGCGTCTCTTATTCAACATGAAAGAATTCACACTGGAGAAAAGCCCTATCGATGCAATGAATGTGGGAAAGGCTTTACTTCTATTTCACGACTTAATAGACACCGAATAATTCATACTGGAGAGAAACTGTATACTTGTAATGAATGTGGTAAAGCCTTAAGTTCCCACTCAACACTTATTATTCATGAGCGAATTCATACTGGAGAGAAACCCTGTAAATGTAAAGTATGTGGAAAAGCCTTCAGACAGAGTTCAGCTCTCATTCAACATCAGAGAATGCATACTGGAGAAAGACCCTATAAATGTAATGAGTGTGGGAAAACTTTCAGGTGTAACTCATCACTTAGTAATCACCAGAGAATTCATACTGGAGAGAAACCATATCGATGTGTAGAATGTGGGATGTCTTTTGGCCAAAGTGCAGCTCTGATTCAACATCAGAGGATTCATACAGGAGAAAAACCCTTTAAGTGTAATACATGTGGAAAAACTTTTAGACAAAGCTCATCACTTATTGCACATCAAAGAATTCATACTGGAGAGAAACCCTATGAATGTAATGCATGTGGGAAACTCTTTAGCCAGAGGTCATCCCTCACGAATCATTATAAAATTCATACTGAAGAGGACTCCTTAAAAGCCGATATGCATGTGTGAAAACCTTAAACCAAAGCTCATCAGAGAATACATGCTTGAGAGTGATTTATTAAATATAATGACTATGAGAAAACGTGTACTTCTCACCAGATACTAAGTTTTAAGAATAAACTTTAGCTATATAATAACTATCGGGAAAGCTTTTATGCTTGTCAGTTTTTAAAATATCCCAAGACAGTTCACTGTTGCAGACATTGAAATTGGCCATTTGTAAGATAAAAGGTATGTTTATAAAATCTCTCTTTATATAATATATGCTATCTATGACATGCAAAAATGAGAACAGTCTGGGTGTGGAGGTGCTGAATTTTTCATTAGAAAAACAATTGTGTAAGCTACTATTATATAAGTATATTTATTACAGCAGACATTTTCATAGCAAACAAAACAATTGGTCTTAAAAATATATGCAATATATACTTACCTGGCAGGGGAGACACCATGATCACGAAGGTGGTTTTCCCAGAGCGAGGCTTATCCATTGCCCTCTGGATGTGCCGACCCCTTCAGTTTCCCAAAATGTGGAAAACTCGACTGCATAATTTATGGTAGTGGGGGACTACATTCGCGCTTTCTCCTAATATATATACACACACACACACACACACACACACACACGCAGTATTAGAGCAAAGGACCAAATAAGAGATGAAAACTAACTGAACTACCTCTTAGTGTCTGGAATTTACCTTTTCCTGACCTATTGTCAAACTTCATGCATGACTTTTATTAAAAAAAAAATCTGTTACCTTCTTCGTTCTAGTCATTTCCAAACAACATCTAATAGCCTCCCATATTTGCTACACATTTCCTAGTTTTGTTTTCAGAAGTTTTTCTTTATTGTCTTGAAGTCATATTTATTATGAAACCATACTTGCTATGCTCTGAACAGTAATGTTAGATAGTTTAGGTTGAAGCATTTTGTTTGTTGAGGCAATCACTTCAAGGTTAAAGCTGTTAATATTTTTTTAGTTGGCTGCAGATGAAATCCTAATTGTTTAAAGAGCCTATCACCTGTGACAATTTTCAAAAGGAATCAGTTTATGAAAGAAAAGTTTGTTTTCCTCATAGGGTTTTTAAGGTTTCAGACTGCAAAGGAAATTCTTTAGAAATAATTATAAATTTCAAAACTGATTTACTTAGTAATGTTTGTTTATGCCCGAGTTTGGGCCAGATATTATCCTGAGCTCTAGAAATTTTATGGAAGAAAGAAACAGACCTTAAAGAAGTCACAAATTGAGTGGATGGAGAAGAGAAGGTTAAAGGGAGTAAGCAAATTATTATGTGTTAAAGGGGTTTTTACAGGTAAATAGTTAAGCTGTGATACTGTGTTGCAGAATACAAATGGAGAGATTTGCATGGGATGCAGAAATATGGAAGACTAACCAAGCAAACCAGGAGAGACCAGCAATAGTGTCCCAGAGACCATGATGTCTGAGCCCAGTTTTGGAAGAATAGTAGGTATTCTTCATAAAGTGAGATTCTAAATAGAGAGAACCGCATATGCAAAGGTATAGGGTGGGTGGGTAACAGCATACTACATTTGTAGAGAATATAGGAAGTAATGAAAAAAGATACTGAAGCTTGAGAAGAAGGCAGTGGCTAGGTAACAAAAGGTCTTACTTGCCAAACTAAGGAATTTGAATTTTATTCTGAAATTTAGGGTACCAAGTATCGATTTTAAGTAATGGAACCTGTATTGCATGAATGTGTAGAAGATGAATTTAGGAGATTGAAGATTGCTGAACAGACTGAAGCCTAGAATTCAGCCTCCAGTGATGAGTGAAGGAGGCTCTAAGCTTAAGCAAGGATAGTCAGTAAAGAATATGTTGCACATGCTAATGTAGTAAGAATAGATAGGGCATAGTTTTTGAAATCAAATAATTGGGGAAGGTGATTGACACACAGGGTAGATTAACTGCTAGGTTTGTGCCTTAGTTACCTGGATAGACGGTGGTGTGATATGCCTTGTAGGCAATATAGGGGTAAACAGTTTGATTTTATACATGTTAAATTAGTCATCCAAACCCAAAAGGTCAATTTGAGCTGGATGGCTTGAGTTAGGAGTACTTAAGATATAGTTAGTAGTGAAAAGCTTGGCACATGTAAATTGACCATGAGAATGTATAGATTAGAATGAGAAAGGGATCATGGGTACAACCCAGGAAAACATCAATATACAAGAAGTAGATGAAGGAATTGTGCAAAGATGAAAAGGAATTGCCCTTTATGTAGGAGAAAAGGCAGAAGAGTGATGTCACTGAGCCCAAGGGATAAATGAATCTCAGATGGGCAGTAGTGTCAGGTGCTATAAATGAAGTAATAAGGAGAGTAAATTGGTAAATAAGGAGATAATTGTAGACTTTGGCAAGAGAAATTTCATTGAAGGAGGGTGAACAAGTAGACTGTTGAAGACGGTATTTCAAATATAAATGAAGGGAAGAATGACTTAGGGAGCATTTCTATTTTAATGATTTAATGTATACACGTGTTGAGGGTGGATTAAAGAAGACATCGCTGGGAGGAACAACTTTTCTGAAATAAATTCGAGTCATAGCATAGGTGGAGGAATTAACCTTAACTTCAGGGAGGGAAAAGCCCACATAAAGGTGGGAATACAGGTAAGTGATTTGGAGGTGAAGGAATTTTCTGCCTGCTGACTCATGTTCTCTAAGATAGGAGAAAGATATCATTTTTTAAGTTGTTGCTAAGAGTTGCAATTTGGGTATTTGGGTGCTTAATGAGTTTCAGTCTTTGCCCTGGAGGTTTCTTGGGAAGTCAAGGCTCTTGAGTTTTATTTCCTACCCTTGTTTCAATAAGAAATCACCATGTTTGTCAGTTTCATGTATTTGATAGTTGTTATTTTTAATTATAAGAAAAAAATTTGCTCGTGAATTAAAGTTTGAAAACTCAGGAAGGGAGAGAAAATGCTTTTTAAAAAGTGGTAAATCTGAAGAGATTGGAAAGAAATGTCAGAATTCAACAGGCATGTGGAGGTAGATGGAAAGGCATTACAAATTGGGGAAAAGCTTGTTGAGTGGCAAGGAGGCATGATGTGTTCACGGTATTATTGCAAATTGTATTTTAAAACTTCATTCCTGTTTGTTACTAGTATATAGAAGTATAATTGGTTTTTGTATATTGACCTTGTATTCAGCAACCTAGCTAAATTTACTTATTTCTAATAGCTTGCTTGTAGATTCTTTTGGATATTCTGCACATACGATCATCTAAATAATTTCCGTTCTATTTCTCCTTTCCAATCATAATACATTTTATTTATTTTTCTTACGTTATAGCACTAGCACAGGCCAGTACATTGTTGAATGGAAACGATAAGTATATTTCTCTATTTAATATTATGTTAGCTTTCTTTCCAGGCTGGGCATGGTGGCTCACACCTGTAATCCCAGCACTTTGAGAGTCCAAGACAAGAAGATTGCTTGAGCCCAGCAGTTCGAGACCAGCCTGAGCAACAACAACAGCAACAAAATTAGCCAGGCATAGTGGTGCACATCTGTAGTCCCTGCTACTTGGGATGCTGAGGTAAGAGAATTGCTTGAGCTCAGGAGGTTGAAGCTGCAGTGAGCTGTGATCCCACCACTGCACTCCAGCTTGGGGAAAGAGCAAGACTCTGCCTTCCCCGTGTGCGCCCCCCACCCCTGCCCCCACCAAAAAAATTGTTTGTGGATCCCTGTTACGAGAATAAGGACATTCCCTCGCATTCCTAGTGTGATGTGAGTTTTTATCATAAAAGGGAGTAATATTTTGTCATGTCCATTTTCTGCATTGGTTGAAATGATCATTTTGTTTTTCTCTTCATTCTTTTAATAGATAATTGTCTGAATTTTGGTGTTACCCAATGTTTCATTCCTGAAATAACTTCTACTTAGTCATGATATATCATGATGTATGTGTATGTGTATGTAAGATCAGGTTTCTTCCTTAGTAAACAGAAGCCTGATGAAGTGCCCAACGTTGTGTTCTAAGAACTTAGAGCAAAAAGAAATTATCCAAGTCTCAAGGAGAGATGTAATAAGACGTGGAAATGAAGTACTCTTGGAAGGCAAGGCCAAGAGTAATGCAGGAGCAAAAGGCTCAGAGGAAGAGTAAATCTAGTATTTGCAGGGACCTGGTGTAGAGGGCTCCTGATAGGATAAAATAAAAATATTTGAAATGAAAGGTATAGTTACCCTGTCAGAGACTTTGGATGCTGTCTAAGACTGCAGGAGTTTGGATATGATGATGGACATATTAATTCACTGTATATTTCTGAGGAGCAAATGACCAATTTGAAGACTATTTTAGGAAGAATTATCTGATAGAATAGATGATTCAAAGATTATTTAGTTATTTCTGGCTTGAGAAACTGAAGGACTGATTCTCGGGAGTAGGGCTTTGGGCGAGTCTGTAAGAAGAGTTCTTAAGGAGAACTAAAAAGGTTATTTCTGTTCTTGGTGTCTGAAACTGTTCTGGTATTTTGCCAAATACTACGGATGGTAGAATTCTTAATTAAAGCTGACATAGTTATATTTTTAAAAATTAAGGTGCAATTAGTCTTTCAAGATCAGAAGATATTTCATTAGTAACATAGTTCAGTCTGTTCCAGGCTGTAAAGTCAGTTATTTCAGTAATATAATTTCTAAGATCTATAAAAAATGAAAATATTTTATTTTCTTACATAACTTTCTTTGAGAGTATTGAACAGTCAAGAAACTTGTATGTTTTCCAGTCCCCATTCCGCTTCAAGTTACATAGTGTCTAGCCTTTTCAGCTCTAGAAATTCCACATTATTATGTAATATCCTGCTTTATGGTTCTTAGTGGTATATGGTATAGATCAACTCAAAATTTTAAATTTTCATCATATGAATTTTTGTGTAGAGATTTCAAGATGAGTTGACCTGAGGACAAAAAGAACTACAAAGAAATTTTACTGTTTTCCTGTTGGTATATATTGTTCAATAAAACAATATATTGGTATATATCATTCAATAAAATAATTATGTATTACAAATTAAATTTTCAACCTAAAAATCAGATTGTTCCAGGAAGATGGAATAGACAGATGTACCTTTCCTTATTTATCCCATACATCTGAAACCTTGTATATTATAAACAAACATAAGACTCTGGTGATTCTTTTCTTTCTTTCTTTCTTTTTTTTTTTTTTTCCCCTTCAAGACAGGGTCTTGTTCTGTTCCCAGGATGGAATGCAATGATGTGATCACGGCTTACTGCAGTCTTGACCTCCTGGGCCCAAGTGATCCTCCTACCCCAGCCTCCAAAATAGCTGGGACCACAGTCCTGTACCATGCATCACTGTGCCTGGCTATTTTTTTTTGCAGGGATGGGTTTCCATATGTTTCCCAGGCTCCAACTCCTGGGCTCAAGTGATCCTTCCACCTTGGCCTCCCAAAGTGCTGGGATACAGGTGTGAGCCACCATGCTTGGCCGGTGGTGATTCTTTTTACCTCATATATCCCAGACTTGGAGCTGAAGAAGGTAGAAACCCAGAAACACCGACAGAGACCCACCAAAAAAAGAAGCTCTAAGGAAAGCCAAGAAAAGTCTCTACCCAAAGGACCAGGAATATGGCAGTCTAGGAAGACAGAAAACTTTAGACAGCCACTCTACTTTAGTCAGACAACCAGATAAAGCTGCACCCATGACTATGCACACCAGCAAAAGCCAAGTGGGAAGTCTAAACTTCCACCCTTATTAGGATGTAAAGAAGGCTCGTAAAACCCCTGCTGGGTGGTGTCAGAGGCCAAGAGCTAGGTTATTCATCCACACTGGCTGGCAGTGAGCACCTGCCCCATCTCAGCAATAATAGTGGGGACCATGTGCAGAAGGGCTTCCATCCCCACCCGGTAGGAAGGAGGCATAATTTCCCATTTCTGCTAGGTTGGTGTAATGTGGGCCTAGTGCAGAGTAAGACCATTTGCCCCTGCCCAGCAGTAATCAGACCACATTCCAGCCCCACAGAGTTGCTGGAACTAACTAGGGAGCAGGAATAAGGCACACTTGTACCTCCCAACCACAGTTATATCAGTGCAGGCCTAGTGAGCCGCCAGAAATCTCACCCACACGAAGTAAAGTGGAGACCCTTTATATCATGTGGTATCTAGAGATGGCAAATGAGGAACCTGAACTTCTAGTCCACCTGGTCAAATAAGATTCAGAGTTTTATCACATAATACCAAAAATGGTCAAGTTTCAACAAAAAGTCATGTCAAGAGCCAGGAAGATCACTTGAATGAAAAATGACAATCAGTAGACACTAACAAGTTAATGATAGACATGTTAGAATTATGTGACAAAGATTTTTAAGTAGCCATCATAAACGTTTCAATGAGCAATTATGAAAATGTTTGAAATAAGAAGACTCTAAGCAAAGAAGTGAGATAAAGAAAAAATGGAAATTTTAGGCTGGGTGCGGTGGCTCATGCCTGTAATCCCAACACTTTGGGAGGCCGAGGCGGGCAGATCATGAGGTCAGGAGTTCAAGACCACCCTGGCCAATATGGTGAAACTCTGTCTCTACTAAAAATGCAAAAATTAGCCGGGTGTGGTGGTGGGCACCTGTAGTCCCAGCTACTTGGGAGGCTGATGCAGAAGAATCGCTTGAACCCAGGAGGTGGAGGCTGCAGTGAGCCAAGATCATGCCACTGCACTCCAGCCTGGGCAACAGAGCGAGACTCTGTCTCAAAAAAAAAAAAAAAAGGAAATTTTAGAACTAAAATACAGTAACCAAAAATTTAAAAACTCACCTCATAGGCACAACAGCAGACCTGAGAGAACAGAGGAAAGTATCAGTGGATTTAAAGATATAATAGAATTTACTCAGTCTTATATACAGAGAGAATACAGACTGGAAGAAAAGCAGAGACTCAGGAAATCTGTAGAACTGTAATAAAAGATCTAACAATATAATCAGTTCAGGAGAGAGAGAAGAAAGAGTGGGCCTGGAAAATCTTTGAAGTATTAATGGCTGAAAATTCGCAAGTTTAGCAATAAGTATGAACCTATACATTCAACAAGCTGAGCAGACCCCCAAAAGCATGAAACCAAGGAATCCACACCAAAATACATCACAGTTCAACTTCGGAAAACTAAAAATCTGGAGGCTAGAGAGAAAAATCACACCTTACCTATAGGGATAAAAATCAAATGAAAACAGATTTTTCACCAGAAACCACAGAGGCACAATGTTTTTCAAGTATTGAAATAAAAGAATTTTTTACCCAGGGAAATGACATCGGCAGAAGAGGAAGCCCTAGCCCCTTGTTCTCCCACAGAGACATGAACTAAACATCAAATTACAAACCAAATGGCTTTTGTGAGAATTGCAGACGCTATTTAAGAGGTTGTAGCACCCCAAGTGAGTGCAAAGAAGAGACACATCAGAGTGGTAGAAAATTTTTGACATTTTACCCACCCTAGCCACTCCCACTGCCTCGCATGGCAAGGTGTGATGAGGGAAAAACACTCAGCTCTCAGGTTTTCCCTCAGGAGGGAAGAAGAGTGGGCTGTGCATCCAATGTTTTAGCTTTTCATGGTGCTTTCCAAGGGCATGGTTTCTGTCTCATGAGACTCAGAGTACTGACTGGAATTAGTAGTTTGGATGCTGGGGGGCTGCTGAGGACAAAGGTGAGCACTGGAGCTTGGTACATCACCAGAGAGACTAACACTGCAAACAGGAAGAGGAACAAGAGGTTGCAATCTCTAAAGAAGAAGCAGGCGAAAACCTCGCTCTATGCACAAGCCCAGAGAAAGTTGGAGACAATCCCAGAATCTCTAGTTATGCTAAATGATGACGATCTTCTTTTATACAAAGCCAATCCTTAAAGACTCCTGGAGGGGACTGTTTTTTCAAATGGCCAAATCTCAACAAAAGATCACAAAGCTATAAAGAAAGAGTGAACCATGTCTCAATAAAAAGAAACTAACCTCCAGAAACCAACCCTAAAGAAATGGAGATCTGGCCAGGCGAGGTGGCTCATGCCTATAATCCCAGCACTTTGGAAGGCCAAGGCAGGGGGATCACTTGAGGTCAGGAGTTTGAGACCAGCCTAGCCAACATGGTGAAAACCATCTCTACTAAAAATACATAAATTATTCACGTGTAGTGGCGTGCATCTGTAGTCCCAGTTATATGGGAGGCTGAGGCACGAGAATCCCTTGAACCTGGGAAGTGGAGGTTGCAGTGAGCTAAGATCGCGTCACTGCACTGTAGCCTGGGTAACAGACTTGTCTCAAAAAGATGCTAAAGAGAATTCTTTAAATAAAAGGTAATAACAACATGAAACTATGAAAATATAAAGCTCTGATAAAGGTAAATACATAGATACAGAATCCCGTAGTATTGTAATGTTGGAACGTAAACCATTTTTAAGCGTGCTGTAAAATTTGAAAGAAAAAAGCAAAGCTAGGTTGGGTGCAGTGGCTTACACCTATAATCCCAACACGTTCGGAGGCTGAGGCAAGTGGGTCACTTGAGGTCAGGAGTTTTAGACCAGCCTGACCAACATGGTGAAACCCCGTATCTACTAAAAATACAAAAATTATCTGAGCATAGTGGCGGGTGCCTGTAATCCCAGCTACTTGGGTGAGGTAGGAGAATTGCTTGAACTTGGGAGGCGGAGGTTGCAGTGAGCCGAGATTGCACCACTGCACTCCAGCCTGAACAACAAGCGAGACTGTCTCAAAAAAAAAAAAGGGGGGGGGGGGGGAGGGATGGACCAAAGCTAGGCATGGTGACATGTGCCTGTAATCCTAGCACTTTGGGAGGCTGAGGTGGGAGGATCACTTGAGGCCAGGAGTTCGATACTAGTCTGGCCAACATAGGCAGATCCTGTCTCTACGAAACATTTTAAAATATTAAAAACTGATTGCTATACCTTTTTGGTAGATTAGCCCTTTATCATTATGTAATTTTCCTCTCTCAATTTTGTCTACAAAGTCCACATTATTTAATATTAATACAGTAGGCCACTTTAGTGCCTTTGACATTGAACTCATGGGATTCTGGGTGACCAGGGTCATTGTCCAATATCAAAAGAAAATTCAAGAGCAGTCCCTTACTGGCAAGGTACTTCCTGATTTCATGGACAAAAGCATCAGTGGAACCAGTCCAGAAAAAGTTTCTCATTGTCCAGGCCTTTTGGTCGTGTGCCCAAGAACGGAAAGTTCTTTCTTAACCTTTTTCCTCCAAGGCTTGGAGGTCAGCAGCATTATACATAATAGCAGTTCTGACTACTTTTGCACAAAACAGTAAAGATACTCTATTCCTTCCTGCCTTTATTTTTTGTAAAGACAGCATCTTGCCATGTTGCCCAGGCTGTCCTGGAACTTACGGTCTCAAGTGATCCCCCGACTTCGGCCTCCTAGGGTGCTGGGATTACAGGCATGAGCCACTGTACCCAGCCTGGCTTTTACCTTTCCTACAGCTGTCGAATTTGGCAATATTTCAGGTTTGCCAAGAAAATAACATTCATCTGCTTCGAAGATTTAAAATGTTGCTGGCGTGTCCTTACTTGTTCTTCCTGACCTTGTGAATTAAGCTTTCAAACAATCCTTTACATATGCTTTCAGTGGTACAGAGGAGGCAAAATACATTTTCCTTGGCCATCTATGTTCGTGGCTGAGACCCCTAAGACAAAAGACAGATTAACAAGAGCAAAACATACAAGTTTCTTTAATGTAAGTTTTACATGACACAGCAGCCTACATAAGGAAATGAAGTCCCAAAGAAACAGTTGTGTGTTTTTATGCTAACTTTGATGAAGAGTCACAGAGAAATATAAATGGACAAAGAGGATATGATCTAATGGTAATACACTGGGGGCAACTTAGCAAGGCCTGTTTGTTCAGAGTTTTCTTTGTGACTATGTATCTTCAGCAATAAAGATGTTACTTTCCTCCAGGTATAGGGAGGGCAAATCTCACATGAGAATCTTACGACCTGCTTCAGAGGAAGGTTAGTAAATTCTTACTAGGTTTTACAACCTGCTTTGTGGGAGACGTGTGGAAAAGTCCTTCCTGTTTCTGCTGTTTTCTCAAATGATGAGGTGCCATGTTTTGGCATGTGTGTGTCCTGAACTGCATCAATACATATGGGGAGGGAACAAAATTAGATGTGTTCTACCCAATCTGCCTTCTTTTCTTCTTTACTGTATGCTTTGAAGGCTGCAAAATTTCCTCTCAACATTCCTTTTACCTAAATCTTTTCTAAAAAGTTTCTAGTCTTTTAAAAAATGTCAAACTTAATTACGTTGTCAAAGAATATGGTCTCGTGTGATACCAATTCTTTGAAATGTGTTGAGGCTACTTTACAGACTACTATGAGATCTTATCGTACATAAATATATGCTTTTACATGTGTTTTCTTCAGTTTTGGGATGGAGTAGCCTTCATGTCTATTCATTAATATAAAACTAATTTTGCTTTTCATATATTTCATATCTATAGTGACCTTTTTGTCAGCTTTTCTATTAGTTACTGAGAAGGTAGGTTAAAAACTCTAAGGCCAGGGTGGTGTCTGATGTCTATAATCCCAGCATTTTGGGAGGCCAAGGCAGGAGGATTGCTTGAGACCAGCCTGGGCAACAGAGTAAGATCCCATCCCTACAAAAAAGAAAGAAAACAAAACTAAAACTGACTCCCTGCTGTGTGGATTTCTACTCTTGGTGGTTCTGCCCATGTTTGCTTTACGTATTTTGTATCTTATGTTATTAAATACATAAAAGTTTAAAATATTTTCTTTCCTGATAAATTAATGCCTTTTTTTTTTCTTTTAAAGACAGAGTCACGCTCTTGTTGCCCAGGCTAGAGTGCGGTGGCCTGATACCAGCTCACTGCAATCTCCGCTTCTCGGGTTCAAGTGATTCTCCTGCCTCAGCCTCTCGAGTAGCTGGGACTACAGGTGCCCGCCACCATACCCGGGTAATTTTTTTTGTATTTTAGTAGAGACGGGGTTTCACCATGTTGGCAGGCTCGTCTCGAATTCCTGACCTCAGGTGATTGACCTGCCTCGGCCTCCCAAAGTGCTAGAATATTATAGGCGTGAGCCACTGTGCCTAGCCTAAATTAATCCTTTTATCATTATGTAATTACCTTCTCTACCTGTAGCAATATTTTTTACCTTAAAGTTTTTGTTTGATCTAAATATAGCTACATAAACTTTCTATGTTTAGTATTTGCCTGTTTTATCTTTTTCCACCTTTGACTTTCAAGCTTTGTTTATCCTCATGTTTTAATAGCTAGATTTTTACAAATCTATTCTGACAGGTTTTTTTTGTTTTTTTGTTTTTTGGTTTTTTTTTGAGACAGAGTTTCACTCCTGTTGTCCGGTCTGGAATGAAATGACGCAATCCCAGCTCACTGCAACCTTTGCCTGCCTCTCTGCTTCAAGCAGTTCTCCTGCCTCAGCCTCCCAAGTACCTGGGATTACAGGCAGGCTCCACCATGCCTGACCAATTTTGTATTTTTAGTAGAGAAGGCGTTTCTCTATGTTGGTCAGGCTCGTCCTGAACTCCCGACCTCAGGTGACCTGCTTCAGCCTCCCAAAGTGCTGGGATTACAGGCGTGAGCCACCACACCTGGCCTTTTCTTTTCATTTGAAAGCTCATTCCATGTGTCTATGTAGTGATTATTGATAGATTTGGATTTATTGCTATCCTTTTCTTGTTTACTGTTTGTTTCAAGTTTTCTGATTTTCTCTCTGCCACCCCGACCTCTTTACCTACTTTTTGAAATTGCACACTCTATGTTGTGGAGGTTTATGAAGGACCATTTCTCTACCAGAACAACTGTGATGAATATGTTTAGGAGGTTTCCATGTTACAGTGTTCTTGTAATTCTGGAGACAACTTGTTCAAGCCATACGTCTTAGTGCAGCAGTAGATTTTTTAGTTAATAATGTTTGGGGCTGTCTGGGTTACCTTAGGTTGACTATATGAATAGTTAAGTTTTTCGTATTTTTCAGTATTTTGAAATAGTTCAGACAGTTGTGAAAGAAAAAGGTATTAAAGACAGTAAAAACAGATTTTATTAAGTGTTGCAGTGGAGGAAAGCAGCTTCAGTAAAGCTGAGCTCAACTCTGAATGCAGCAAAGCCAGCCTGGGATTTATAAAGCGTACAAACACAGTGAGGAGTCAGTGGGTGGAAAATGTCTAAAAGCAGACATCAGAGGTATGGAGATTGTCGCTAAAGGCAGGTCAAGGACTTAAGACTTCAAGGTGACAGATGAGAAATTTGGCTAACTATTGAGGATTGGCTCTCTAGCAGGATTCTAGGGACTTGCAGGCCCAGGACAAGGCCTGGTTAAGAAGAGGGGCTTAGAGGCCTAAAGTTTGGGTAAGGAGAGTGTCTTTGTCACAGTGAAAGAAGCAGAGGAAATTAGCAGCTACCTTTAGAAAACTAAGTGTTACCATATAAGCTACTACACTGATCTGCACTTCTCCAAGTTCCAAAGTGGCAGATCCATTTGAAATTACCCAAACATAGGCCACACATTTAACTGATGGAGATTTTGTCTACATTCTGTACATTGATAATTCTGAAGCACTCCGAGCAGTGCCTGACAGTGAGTGAGCTGGGGGACGGGGTGTGGTAGTGACTCCTGAGAGGCCCGCAACACCTGCGGCATTGTGCAGCCTCATCTCTTCATTATTCCTTGGTGAGGAGGACCTCTGGGTTCCATGCTTTCAGAGGACAATGAGGCTTAGCCAAGGCCGCCTCCCCTCCCCATGGGGTGGATGCCAACAGACTCCAAAGAGAGACTTCTTTTCTTTTTTTTTTCGAGACAGAGTCTTGCTCTGTTGCCCAGGCTAGAGTGTAATGGCACAATCTCAGCTCAATGCAACTTCTGCCTTCTGGGTTCAAGCGATTCTCCTGCCTCAGCCTCCAGAGTAGCTGGGATTACAGGCGCACATCACCGTGCCCAGCTAATTTTTTGCTTGCTTGTCTGTTTTGAGACAGTTTCACTCTTGTTGCCCAGGCTGGAGTGCAATGCACAATCTCAGCTCACCGCAACCTCCACCTCCCGGGTTCAAGCAATTCTGCCTCAGTCTCCCAAGTAGCTGGGATTACAGGCATGCGTCTGTAATTTTTTTTTTTTTTAAAGCATATTTAGTAAAAACAAGGTTTCTCCATGTTGGTCAGGCTGGTCTCGAACTCCTGACCTCAGGTGATCCACCACCTACCAAAGTGCTGGGATTACAGGCATGAGCCACCACACCTGGCCAGACAGAGTTCTCTAGGCGGGGTAAGGGGCCGCCTGGGAACCCCGCGTCCCGCCTGGACACACCGATGACCTGCAGCGGCCACACAGTGGGCCACCGCTGCTGGCCACTGGCACAGCCTTGCCCTCTGGGCCCCCGTGCCTGCGCACTCCGACGGCCTGGTCGCGCTGCAGCCCCGCTGCCTTGTGGGAAATGTAGTCCGGCGCTCCGGGCTGTAAGCGCCGGGCGCGGCTGCGTCGGTCGCCACTGCTCCCGCTCCTGCGCTCCTGCGCTCCTGCGCTCCTGCTGGGAGAGGGTGAGTGCGGGGCTGGTGGCGGTGGTGCGCGCCAGCCTGAGTCTCGTAGGCCCCGCAGGAGGAGCTCCGGACTGCGGCCTGAGGGGCGGGCCCGCCGCAGAGGGGCCGGGGGGCGGCCTCCAGCTCCCGGTGCGCTCCTTCCCCAGGAGCTGGCTGCAGGAGCACACGGGCAGCCGACCTCCAGCGCGGTCCTGGGCAGGCGCCGAGGTGGAATCATAGCCCGGGAGCAGCGGGGATGGGGGCTCCAACAAGGGCCACACCGGTCACCACGGGTCAGGGAGGGGCCCAAGGTTCCAGGAGTCGCTCAGAGCCGAGTTCCTCCTTGGCTTTCCCCAGCCGCGCGCAGTTTTGTCCTGGGACAGGGCAGATGCTGCGAACGTGGAGCGAACCGGCCCCGCAGACATCCTGGGGATTCTGGGCGAGAGGCCGGGTCTGCCTGCGCAGCATCTGCCCTTTGTGTAAACCGTGTCTGGGGACCCGCCCTCTGGTTCGCATTCGGAGGGCGCTGGTGTGGGTTCACCTCCCATCTCTCCATAAGAATTGGGAGGCCAACGTGGTGCAAGTTTCTACCTCCGAATCTTTTTTTTTTTTCCCTTAAGCCATTTCACTGTAGCGCAACTAGAAAATTCAGATTAAAACAATCATTCAAAATATATATCAGTCTGCATGGCAGCGTGAATATGTGTATAAGCATAGAAACACTTTGCACTTGGTTTTTAAACAAATATGAATATTAGTAACTTTTTCACCATCTGTCTTTCAAAATTGAGTTATGAGATGCGTTTGGTAAGGGGTTTGAAATGCACAAATCTTAAGCCTCGTAGTTTTTTACTGGCCTAAACACCCAATGAAAATAGAGAATACACCTGAAAAAAAAACATTTCAATATGTTGACGCCTTCTACTTATACCAGATTTTAAATACGTCGTCGTTTTAATGAGTGTGAGGGAAAGTATGGATGTGTCGTATTTAATCCTCTCCTTAGGTTTTTGTGTTAGGGTTTGTGTTTTTTTTTTTTTCCAGTATTATAAACAATATAGGCCATCTGACTATATACATCTTTGCATTTTGTCTTATTCTATAAATCTCTTAAAGTGAAATTTCTAGGTCAAGGGTACAGTAAGGATTTTGATACTTCCTGTCTTACTCCCTCCAGAAAAGTTCCAGTTTATATAAACACTTGCAGTGTAAGAGTGCCAGATTTACCCACACCAACTGTGAATGTTAGTATTCTCTTGAACTTCTGAGAAGTGCAAAAGATAGGATTGTTTACATTTGCATTTTGAACACTAATGAATATTTTCATGCAGTTTGCATTTTGTATTTTAATTTTGTGTCTCATACATAAATAAGCTTCTTTCCTGACTATGCAGAAGTGTCACAGGTTCGTATGGTCAGACATGAAAACCTTTTCTTCACGTTTGGGTGTTTGACATCATT